CTACCTATAATAATATCGGTGAAATGTATATTAAAATGAGAGATTATTCAAAAGCGCTCGAATTTCATCAAAAGTCATTGAAAATTGAACAACAATCTCTTCCTCCACATCATCCAGAACTAGCTACGACTTATCACAATATTGCTGCAGTATACGAGAATATGAGACAATTTTTGCATGCACTCGAATTTCATGAAAAATCGCTTGAAATTCGACAACAATGTCTTCCACCAAATCATCCTGATTTTGCTGCTACATTCAACAGCATTGGTGAAGTTTATGCCAAAATGGAAGAATACGTGAAAGCACTCGAATTCTATCAAATGTCATTAGAAATTCAACAAAAATCTTTGCCATCAAATCATCCAGATTTTGCTGCTACTTATAACAATATTGGGGAAGTTTATTATAAGATAGGACAGGATGCGACTGCACTCACATTTTATGAACGTGCTGTTAAAATCGGACAAGAAGCTCTACCTGAAAATCATCCATGCCTTCAGATTTATCGGAGCCATTTGGCTGAAATGCAAAAGAAAATATAATTCATTTTTAATGTAAATAAATAAAAGGATCTTCGTTAGATTGACTATGATTCGTGACAATACTAAAGAGACAGCATCCTGAAATGTCTGTCTAATGAGGACAAGAAAAAGTAGAGGACTTTTGTAGACTGAATATCTCTAGAAGAAGTCAAGTAATCAAGCTGATATTTTTCATGTATCTGTATAATGAGTTTTAATCACAATTACATTTGCAGTTCAAGCAATTCAATCGTTGGTATTATGTGAAATTTATTGATGCTGAATTCAATCAGTTTTATATAAAATTGATCTTGATAATTGGTTTATAAGAAATCAGAAGTTCAAAATACAGTAAAATTTAGAATAGTACAGAGCTCTTTCAATATAGAATATGCATTAATATTTTTAATGTTTCGAAAAGGTATTTTGACCGCAAAAAAAGACAGAAAAGGTTTATGCGAGAATTTTTCTCTCATCTTTTATGGCAAGTTAAGAATATTTATTTTCTTCACAGTGGTGAATCAATATCAGGATGTTCGTATCTTTCTATCTGCATGTTTAAAAATCATTTGAAAGAGTTTCATCAGTTAAGTTTTACTTTTTATAGAATTAGAATGCTGTTTTAATTGAATGTTCGTTGGTTGAAATTATGCTTTCGAGTATCTTGAGAATCTTTCTGTCAAACCATTTTTTTAATCCATTCATAAGGCAATGATGTGGAACCATGTCTTGCACCATACATTGTTCCACACACCGCACCATTCGTATCTGCATCATTATCATATACAATAAGATCATTAAATGTTGTTTGAAATGATTTTGCTAAACATTTATAAGTATAACCAATACTTTGTAGTTCATCGAGGTTAAATTCTTCTAAGATTCGATGCTTATGCGTATACCATAAGAATGCCTTTTGATGCTCAGAAGTCAGTTGATCATTAAGAATATGAATAGTTTATTTTCGAACACAATCGATGAGCACTTCAACATCATCATTAATAGCAGTTTGTAACAGGTAGGCAACAGCAAGACATGAAGCGATGTATCGAGAATCGAAATGAGTTACTTTACACATGGAAATAGCTGTTCTTTTAACTTGAACACAAAGATAGACTAATCAATGGCTAAGTAATGACTATTATTTACTTTTTCAATATCTCGACGATACACGAAAGCTGAAGTAGAAAGCCGCATGATCACTTCATTTGGTGTTGCTTGACGATGATCTCATTCCTACGTCGTGTTACTTTCTGTGTGTGGGTCGCGAAGAAAATTAGATGAGGTAGTAATCTATAACAAAGACGAATCGACCGATAATTTTAGAAATAATTCAAGCCTAAAATAATAGAACAGAATTTTCATTATAAAGAGAATAATATCACTGCAAAAGTTGGTTGATCACAATTCACAGAGGATTTCGAGTGAGTAAAATATCTAATCAAAATCAGTTGAGCATAGCTAAATTTACCTATGAAACATTAGCTCCCAATCCTATTCCTCCATAGTCGCCTAATTTGGGAAAATCTTGATAAATCCAGTTTTATCAGTCCAATCTCCTCCTTTCCAACGGCTTGAATGAGCAGTTAAACGATAGTTCGAAAATGAAATTATTTGTGTGATATCAGGATGCATAATTGCTACTCTTCTGCGATCTTCAAATTCAGTCGTTAGACCATATGCATCGCCTAATACCTGTCCATAAACACAACCAAGAAAATGATCACTTTTCAGTAATTTTATTTGTTTTTAGTTTGATGTGAAATTATTTCAATATTGAAATTTATCACATATTTTTCTTTCAAGAGCTCACTGGAATAAGCAAATGATTTGCTAAAATTTTTGGCAGACAATTGCCAACAATAAATTTCTTGTGTGATGATCATTTGCTTCATGATAATCATTCTCCAGAGTAGTAAGAGCTCTCTTTTGTGAAAAACTGTATTTTCCTAAAACAGTTTCATTATTACCATAGATGCATGCGCTACATAAAATCACATTGTACTGAAATGTCTTTCGAATGTTAACCATGTTATTTATCAGTCTCGTTGTTTTTTTATTTATTGAGTCCTACCTGTCTACAACTGGAGTGTGGGTGTGGGGTGTAGATATGTATTCCAAGAAAAGATTCAGACTCACCCTCCTAGCTGTCTACACCACACTCATACTCACATCCACCCTCTTGTATTTGATTCTTCTTTTTTATTTGTTATTATTGATGTAAATGATTTTTCTTCTTTTTATGATGATGATTGTTTATGTAAGCCTTGAATAATTGATTATGGTTCTTATGTACCTCGTTTCATTTCTGTAAGTTTTTTAATAAAATAAATTACATTTTTTTCTTTAATGAAGAATTTTCTTTTAATTTTTCATCAAATACGTTTCGTATATCATTTAATTCAATTTATTTAACACTATATCAAATTCTATTTGTTGCAAATTAATTTTTAATTACATCTTTGAGTGTTTTTTTTGGCTTGTCGTAAAATTCTCGAACTTTATCATTTTTATCAAGTATACTTTACATAAGTAATTGTTTTGACGATAAAACGCTAGGACAATTCATGAAATGATTGTTGAAATTGAATTCATTTTTCATTATTAAATCTAGATCTAATAGAAATTTCTCGAGTTAACATTGGACAGAATAAATAAAATACTGAGAGATCCGTGTTTTTTTCATACTCACTACCTTGAGTTATTGAAGAGCATACTCCCTACTGAAAGATAGCACATGATACAACTTTTTTGAATATACAGTCAAAAAGAGTTTTTGACGTTATATTCTCTACAGGTACATTCAAGTTTGTCCATACATATTTTAGCCAATAAAAAATGAAACGATATTTGTGCAAGAACTTTAGCATCACCCATTATCTGTCCACCAATGTGATTAAGAAGATAAAGTTTGTCATTTTATTGAATAATGATTGATATCTTTTTATATACTATTGGTATAATATCTATCAACATGATGGAATATGAAACATGTATCATTTAAAACTATTAAATTAGAATTTTTTGTTCAGTAATGGTTTATTTGTTCTTATGTTTATCTCTTGTATTTAGAGTAATATTATAATCAGACGTTTAATGTTTGTTAATCGACATGACAAATAGATAATTAAATATATTTATAATTTCCTCAAAACTAAAATATCTGTTAACTAATAATGAAAGTTTATTAGTTTTAAATTTTCAACTGAAATCTACGAATTTGTAATACTACTATGGCAGAAATAGCTACTCAAAAAAACAAATACAACCAACGGACTTACAAAAAGAATTCATTTATCATTCACAAGATGATTTTATTGTATACTTTCATCTTAGGTTTTCTTTAGGTGTTCCAAAAATAATTTACCAAAAAAATAATGAAATATCTCCATCGTATATCGACGATATGAGATAATTGAGACATTTGAAATCTAACATTCTCTACTTCAACTCAAAAGTTGAACTTTTTTTTCGAGTACTTCCTTCAGTAGTCAACCGGAAGAAGTGCAGAGATCTGACAATTTTTGTTTTGACATATCTGATTTTGTAGAGCTTTTTCTGCTGATATTATTTCAGTAAAAAGCTTTTCCAATTTTGTACCAACGAATGAATTCACTTCAATGAAAATACTGCAAAAAGCCAAATTGTTCGAAAATTCCTAAGCCATTTAACACTTTTTGATATTTTAACCCATTCGCCACGATGGGATCCACCGGTGGGTCCCACATTATTTTTACTAGAAACTCGATAGAGAAACACTTTTCCATTTTTTTCCCTTCATCTTCAACGAGTCCATGGTTCTCTATAAATTCTGCATCTGATTCTGATTTTATTTCATCCCAGGTATTTGAATCCATCTCGTCATCAGACATTTCTTCAACGGAACTTCCAGATTCCAGGTGCATGCTATCCAAATCATCATCCAAAGAGCTCACTTCACTTAGTGAGCTTGTGCTTTCTTCTATGCCGATTTCTTCGAACGACATATGAACTATTTCGAAATTTTTGTCGCTTTTATACATACAAGAATAGAGACAAGAACAAAGAAGAAAAATCTGGAAGTTTCGTTCTCTTATCTTATATGTGCTACCTGTAAGATATGAAAGAACGCAAAAATAACTTAAGGGATTTTTCATCTGATCGCAAAAAAATGACTCATTATGTGATGATACAAAGTAGAGAACAATGAATAAGCAGTGGGGGATAATGAAAAAGTCACTAAGTGCATTTGTTAGAAGTTAATTCTTCACAGAAATGAATATTTCGAAGAAGCTTCTAAGAAAACTGAATCGTGGTGAATGGGTTAAATTGTTGTGGAGTAAAAGTTTGTTTATATGAACAAGCTGTAAATCTCGAAGCAATTTTTTATTGGAGCTCTTTTTTAAGAGAGACCTAGAAAAAAAATCGAATCTTGTTCTATAATTTTTATATTAGTTTAGAATGATAGAATGGATTGAAACGTTTATTGATGAAAAAATCGCCAAAAATTATATGAATCACTTTTTCAAATGATTTATTATAAATCATTTACATATAAATGTATGAGGAAAATAGTCTTTGACATGTTCAGGAATTGAAGATATGCCATACATAGATAAATAACGCAATCTTGCACAATTGATTCGTGTTGCTTCTCTTTGAAAATTTTGTGTCACTTTTTCCAGTGGCCGATAAAAAACAAAAAGAAAAACGTTATTCGGCAAACACGTTTTCGTATCAACTAGAAATTGTTCGACATAATCATCATGAGCTTCAGTAAGACAAAGTGTAGTCAGATGAGGATATTCAATAATTGATAAATTTTGATCATCATATTTTGATTTCATACATTGTTTATTGATTTGTGCTTTTTGATTAATTACAGTTAATTTTTTCATAAATGGAAATGATTTTGAAATTCGACGAAAGAATTCATGCGAAAAGGGATACTCATCATATAATGATACTTCACATACATATTTAAATAAACCACCTGGAAATTTATTTGATATACGATCATAAAATTTCAATTTATATGGATATGAATAAATAAGACATTGACTATATCGTTTTTCTTGAAAATAATCAATACAAGAAATTATTTGATTATCATGAAAATATGCAAATGTATTGTGAATATTTTCATTTAATGGTAAATCAATTTGAATAGGAAGAGAATGACGTGAATAAATATTAAATATAAATTTATTTAATTGTGACATATAATTAATAATATTCTTTTTTAATTCATTATCATCAATCAACCCTTGTTCACGATTTACTCGAAGTAACAGATCAAGTTTTTCTAAATTTAACATTCGATGTAGAAGTGGTACAATCAGATTATCATAATTATCTGTATCGATATCACAGTGTAAAGAAAAAAATCGTAAATTCGGTAGTTTATCCTAGAAATGAAAACAATGAATAAATAAAATATTAACGAAAATAATCTACTTTATTATTAATAGTTAAATGAGAGGAGGCAATAATATATATATCAACATGAAGTGTATGAAGTTGAGTGAAACGTCCATCAAGTAAATAGAGACAATCATTGAAATTTCTTATAGAGACATATAATTCTAATAGAGTTGAACAGATAATAGTTGGAGGTGATACAAAAGATAATCGTCGAAATGAAATTGAAGATTGATCAAATTTTAAATATTGTAAATTAGTAAACTTAGTCAAGATTTGTGTAAATATAAGTGTATGCATATCTTTTATTGCAGCTCGAGGGTTGAGTTTGGAAATAAAATCAATAACAAATGATGAAATTTGATTTTTAAATTTATAAATTAAAGGAGATTTATCTAAATAAAAAGATTAAAAATTAATCAGAAAAATATTTATCAAATTCAAGTATGTTATCTTTTTTCTTGATAACACTTTAAAATATCTGTATGATCTTGATTTAAACTATCTGATAGATCATACAATCAATATCATTTATTTTTATTCTGCAATTACTACATTGATCATCAATGTAAAACAATCCGAATTGAATGTTAACATTAAATGTTCTTTTTCTTTTATTTAAATGAGTAACTCGAGTTTTATTTTCTTCTAATTGATTTCTTGTAATACGTAATCATCGATAAACATTGATGAAATACAAAACTGTTTTATAATGATAAATCATCCGTGATTATTTGATTCTGTGTACAATATATACAGTCCCGGACAAAAGTTTAAGTGAAATTAGTTTTTCACTATTTTTTT